GCGGAGAGAATTCGGTTGGTTTTCAAGCGAAAGTAAAATAAAACTGTCCTGAAAGGCACCTCGGAGTCTCTGAGTTAAGAGGTTGCAGAGCTATTAAAGTTAGTGTTAGGCTAGCAGGCTGTGGGTGCTGACTTGCTGACAGACAACTTGCTCTCTCTATTTGCTCGTACTTAACCGTTCGCTGATCTCCTTCTTGCAGGGGCTCCCCGCGTGAGTAGGAGGACTTAAGCTGCTGCTGCTTGGAGTGCTGCGGTTCCCCTGCTGCTGCCTCGAGCTTACCGTGGACGAGTGGTTGATTTTGTCTGCGGGAAGATGTGCGTGTGAATACCTACTGTCTCCAATTGCGGGCGGTGCCTTACTGGTGGTTTGAGGCTTTCGGGTGCCTGGGGAAAGCTGCTCTGTTCCAGCTTGAAGTCGTGTTCTGGAATGAGAGGGATTCTTTGCTCTGGGGAGAGAAAAAAGCAAAAACAAAAACAAAAAACCACAATTGGCGAGTCAGTTCTAAGGGGAAAAAATTAAGGGCTTCAAAACCTGATCTTAATGTAATGGATAAAGAATTAAGTGTATGTATCTGTATGTGTGAGATGATGTATAAAGAATTAATATGTATTAAGATGTATAAAGAATTAAGTATCTGTATGTGCCTCTGTAACAGTCAACTGTGACAAATGACACTGCGATTCTGCAGCAGAACTGTGCTACCTGAGCGAGTTCTTCTTAACGAGCTAACCAGTCATTTGTTAGTGTGCTTTTTTCTTTACCTTTTGCTGAGCCCTGTTCCTTGACTTAAGTGAAATTTTTCAGAGACGGATTCTAAGAAGATGGGGTGTTCTCTGATGGAAGAAGCTGAGCTGCGACTTCTCGTTTAGCTGTGAATGTGTAGCTTACCGGCTTGCTTTAACTGTCGCTTGCTAACTGCCAATAAAGTTTCTGCTAATCCTAAGTAAAAGTAGCGAGAGTCTATTCTGTGCCGTTAACATACGAATGCGGAAAGAACTTAGCACGCGAATCAACTTAGCCTTCACGAAAACAAGCTATTGCTACATAGGTTTTATCACGTACTAAGTATAATTAATTGTGTCCACAGTATCTAACAAAACTAAACGAAGTTAACTGTTTGGAAAGCAATTAAATGCTTTAAGGCATCTTACGAGATTGGCCGCGAAGAGAAAGAAAGTCTGGTGCTTACCCTCTCACGATTACAAATCTGGTCTCCCTTCTCTTAGAAATCTGGTCTTCCTCCTCTTAGCTTCCTCGGAGCTGCTTTGCTTCAGGTGCCTTTAGTCATCTGAAAGAAAAAGCGAGGAGCTGTGTTGGAGAACGTTTTCTGTTATGTATAAGTTCGCATTGATAGTGGTGGTTAAACGTTCACAATAAAGGGGAAACAATAAATACTTGTTACGGCTCACTGCCACCCTTGCGAGCTGTCTTCAGTGTATGTCCTTGTGTTTCTTTCAGAAGAACGCAAGTACGTAACGAGCTGAACGCTGCTGAAGGTGGAGGTGGGCCGGGGAGCTCTGAAGAGTCCCTTCCACCGCAAACGATTCTAGAACTGACCTTGTTCAGCAGGGAGAAGAAAAAGCTCTGACGGGACCTTGCCGTGTCCTTCCAGTACCTGAAGGGAGGAAATAACAAGGAGGAGGAATGGCTGTTTACGTGGGGCGATAGGAGACGGGGGAAATAGTTTCAAGCTAACGTGGGGGAGATTGAGGTAGATGGTAGGGGAAGGTTTTCACCCAGAGTGGGGTGATGCGCCGGAACAGGGGGCCCGAGGAGGGGCTGTGGGTGCCCCATCCCTGGAGGCGTTCAGGGCCCGGCTGGATGTGCCCCCGGGCGGCCTGGTCTGCTGGTCGGTGGCCCTGCGTGTAGGGAGGAGTTGGAACTGGAGGAGCGCTGCGGTCCTTTGGGACCCAGGCCATTCTATCCTTCTATTCTACAACTCTTTCTTCGGTGCTATTTCAACATTCCTTTGTTACGGCAGTACTCGGCCACATCAAGGGGAGCAGGAGCTCACACACAGAGCTCTCGGAAGATGCAGGAGCTCACACACAGAGCTCTCGGACGATGCACGAGCACGAATGGCTCCAGTAGCTCCCATTCACTTCTCCCTCCCCCGGTTCTGAAGCGGCCCTGGAATGCTACTTTTGCAATGCACCTTCTAATGCTGAATAACTGAACTAGAAAGTCTCGATCCCACGCTTATGGCGCAGAGCCTGAGCACTTACAGCCCTCGGCGCGCTCGCCGTGAGCCTGAAGGTCGCTCTGCCTTTTTGTTCCAGCAGCTGGCCCGACCTCAACGAGCAAAGCCCGAAGGAAAGCCTCTCGCGGTGCAGCGCCGCCCCTCCCCTCCCCTCCTTCATTCTGCACGTGGTTCTGAGCGTGACAGAGCTCTCGCGCTGAGGTGGGAAGGAGGGGATGTGAGAACGCAAGGCTAAGATCGCTGGCCGCCTTGCCCAGCCCTGACCTGCGGGCATCCGCTGCGACACAACACCGGCACCAGCAAAAGCGCAGGCTCTGACGAAAGCTGCCGGGATCTTGCGCCGAGGCTGCACGAGCACAGCCCGAGTTGGTGCTATTCATTGCTTCCACGTTTCTCGCCCAACCTCAACCCTTGTTGCGATGGGACGGTAAAACAATCACGGTTAACTGAGAGCAGCAGCAGCAACAGCATTGTTCTGAGCACAGCTCGGCGGATGCCTGCTGAGAGATGCGACAAAACCTTTCCCCCGTTACCGAAGCAGAGCTGCAGAAGCTCTCGTAGTAGGCTGGAATGTCAGCTTCCGTTGGGAAAACTGCTGGTTTCTCTGGGAAAGCTGAATTTTTTACTACGAAATACAAATAACAGTGCCTCTCTCACCCTGCGTTAAAGTTTGCTGTATTCCATTCGAAGACAGAAAAAGCTGACGATCCAAATGCTGTCAGCGGTTAAATACCCTGCGTGGTTCAGAGCTCGCCCCAATCTATCCTGCAATTAACTGCGTTAGGATCTTTGCCGTCCTCCTCGGAAATTGACGGAAAAGAAAAGTAATTAACAACGGACGCTCGTTTGCAGTTGCTAGAGGCTGCCGGAGTGATTGACGGCCTGCAAAGAAGGGAGGATTTGGGCCGGGGCTTCGCACCGTCCGTCGCTGCCCGCCGTTTGTCGGTGTAAAACCCGATGCAAAGCGCTCCTTCCTACCCCGCGTCTCCGATGCCTCGCAGGGCGGGCAGAACCACCGGCCGACAAGCAAATGCCCCCGTGACAAAAGAATTAATTAATAACAGAATCCAGAATAACTAACTACAATGAGACAGCGTTACATTAACTCCCCTTGCCTAGACACCTCGCCTTCATCCGAGGTGAAGGGCGAGGATAGCGATGGCCGCGGTGCTGGCCGACAGAAGCGCCGGCACCGGGGAGCAGAGCTGTTTTCTGCCTGACCGAAACGAGTTTGAGCAGTGAACACGAAAAGCAATCTCTCCTGCAGGGGTATCTTTACGGGAGGAAATTCTCCTCGTGTAAGTTAAGGCTCCTTGCTCTTTTCTCCGCTTCCCGCCTCCGAGGCGGAGGAGAACGGTAAAGCTGCAACCTCGCCCTTCCGCTCAGGCTCTGTTTCTACCAGAAGCCTAAGACAATCGTTGGCACCGAGTCGACTGCATTTCCAAGGGTGCTCCGTAACAAAATAACCAACTATTTATTTCCATCCCATGAAAGCAACCTTCCTAATTCTGCGCGCCGGAAAGGAACTCTAAGCGACAAGCAGCAAGCCTTTCAGATTCGGGAGCGCCAAAGTAAACAAAGAGGAAAAAGGGGTTACGCAAACCCAGAGCCCCGCCCGGCCTCACGCTGCGGCGTTCCCCGCAAAGAATTCTCCGCAAAGTCCTCGCGAGGCTCGGCTCAGCCCGTGGAAGCTCGGGACAAAAGCTATTTCTCCGGTTTATCTTGCTCGGGGATCTCAGAGACAATGACCCGAAGCGTCAAAACAAAACAAAACCTCTCCACTCCAAAATTCGGAAACCTGCTGAAGTTCACGCCTCGTCGATAAATGACGCTGACAAACACCTACGGGGAGATCAGCGCTTGGCCCGCGGCGCCAGCCGCTGAAAGAAAGGAACCCCGCTGGAGATCGGGGCAAAAGCAGAGCCGAGAAACGACGGTTCATCTCATTCCGCACCGCACCGCGTGATGCCAGACTCCGCCTAGGTAACTCACTCTCTTCATCACTGCAGCGACACGAGCCTAGCTAACTACGTGGCCTGAGCAAAAGCCTGACCTCTCCTGCTTCCGGAGAATCACAGAACGGCCTGGGTTGAAAAGGACCGCAACGAGCGTCCGGTTTCAACCCCCCCGCTGCGCGCGGGGCCGCCAACCGCCAGACCGGGCTGCCGAGAGCCGCGTCCAGCCCGGCCTCGAGCGACTGCTTTCGCCGCTGCTTCTCTTAAGATGCAGCCCTTCGGCTCTCCTCAGCTTAGCTGCCAGCAGCTCCCAGCCGGCCGGACCAAAGTCTGCTCTGACAGAGGAGCTGTTTACACGCAGAGCTCAAAGGGGCTCTTGCCTCTCCCGTGGGTGCGTGACCGCGGGCTCGCTGCCACGCCACCAAGGCCGCAGGGTTTTCTGAAGGAGAATCGAGTCCTGCTGACTTCTTAGAACAAGGACAACGGCAAAGCTACCGAAGGACTGTTTGCACCTAACTGCGTAAACCTGCTTTATCGGACAAGGTCGGGCTAAAAATAATTCTGTGCTGATAGGGGTCCCTCGAACTGAACAATCTTCTGTCTCGTCTCTCATTTCCTGTGCCGCCACGGCCCATTTGTGGTTCGGTTCTAACGTTAAAGCTCGCGGCCCGCCACCAAAATAAGACCGAATGGCATTTTTAGCTTTTCCTACCTTCTTTTGCCTTGTCTGCCAGCCGTGATGCGCGCTCAGTTTCCACGTAGACACCAGGGGATGCTGATGGGGAACACGCGTCGCCTCTTCCGGGAAGCGAGACGCAGATCTCGTGCGAGGCCGGCGGCGTGCTAAAGAAAAGGTACAGAAAGCAAACAGGTGGATTGCAGGCATCTGTCACCCCGGATCTCTCTCTCGGTGATACTGCGTTAGCCCGCCCCGGTATGCTGCCCGGCACGAATGGCAAGCGCATAACCAAAGAATATTAGGATGTTATAATCACAGAATAAACAAGAGAGTTAGGCAAAGCAGACCGTGAAAACAACAGAGAACAAACAGAAGGCTTACCCCTATCCCGGGCTCACTCTCAAAACACCAGCAGAGGCAATCTGCAGAAGTGCTCCTTCCCCACTGGAAGCCAGCTCTTAAATAGGCCTAGGAGGGGGGCAGCCTGGCTCCACCTCTTCCGGCAGCACAGGTGAATTGCCTTCACCTGTGCTCCTCTGGCTGACTCCCTGCTCGCCTCAGCTGATCAATCAGAGCTTCAGGCCGTGACGCAGCAGTTCCCACACAGTAAGCACGACTCTTTGTAAGAAATCAAGCCAACTGAAGCTACTGCCACGTCCCTGCGGGCACCACCCGACAGCTGTCCTGCTGCGCTCAGCCCTTTGGAGCAGGCAGCGTTTCCACACCGCCGTACGCAGCTGGATCTCACCACCCGGCACCTACAAAGCTCGAGGTGAGGACAGAAGTTGGCACGACAACAACAACTTCCCCGAGCTTCGATTACTGCCTAAACGAAGGCAGGTCGGGCTTTGGTCGGTCTGGTTGCACAAAGCAAAATCACGCAGTTTGTACCTATCAGCCATTCAGCAAAATACTTCAGTGTGCCTGCATGCAACGTCATTCCTGCTTTGGTCTTTGTACGCATGACACCAGCCTGCTGAAGTGCCTGTAACTGCTATAACGCTGTAACACCATGCAGAGCACAGCAATGACAGCGGAGTAGCAAAGCTCCAGGCCACAGCAGCCGAGGGCTCAACTGACAGCTGAGGCTCAAATGCAACAGCCATAGGCACAGAAACAAAGGGAAAGAAGCTGCTTGCCTCCGGGAGGCCTCGGGTACGCAGGGATCTCGAGGGAGATGCTCTCCCCTTCGCTGCCGGCCCTTAAATGAGGCCTGGGAAGGGGTGCGTCCTGGCTCCACCCCTTCCTGCCGCTCACCTACATTGCACGCACCTGAGCTCCCCTGGCCCTGCCTTCCCACCAGGTGCTCAATCACCGGTGCAAGCTGCGACTGAGCATTTCTGCTGTGACTGCATGTCAGACTGGAACAGAACACGAGGTTGGAGGCTTACAAGGAGCGACGGTCGTTGCCTTTCATCTGCGGTGCGCTCACCTTCAGGCAGTGTCACGTCACTGAGGGAGACGGCTCCCCTGGGGGTGCAAAATGCTTCTCCGATTGTTCCCAGTTGCTGCGACGTCCCTACTTACTTACAGTCCTCCCCCCTTCGCCCGCTGCCAGTTTTGTCTGAATTCAGCCAGACGGTTGACGGCAAGGAGGAAAGGATGCCGGGCACTTCCTCCTCCTGCAACCTGCTGTATTTTGGGCTCGCCGGCGGTCGGAGTCCATTTAACTGACAAAGCCACTTTGAAGGCTCCTTCCACGGGGATAATTTTCCAGGTCGGTTTCTCCTTAGATGTTACGCCGTCACCTTGGCTTTGACAGCCGAGCTCTGACTCTTCACAGCACGCGCGCGGTAGACGTCAAGGCGTTTGGCTTCGCCCTCCTTGTCAGCATGCAGGTTATTGCAGGTGATTTTGGCAGCTGCGGCTGAGAACACAGAGATGCGTTACTACAAAAAGCGAGGTTTGCGCAAAGAAGGAAGGAAGTCAGAAAGAGAAGCACAGTGAGAGCATCAAATTCCCAGGGAGGAAAGGGACGGGAAGAACGCTTTCTCCGAGGGGACGATTCCAAAAGTCCCCACATCCCAGTTCGTAACCCCCTGCGAAACAGGTAGCGCCGTTGGGACTTTCCTTTCCTTCCAACGCCAGTTTTAGAGGAGGTAACGAGACACATGAGCTGACACGCGGCTCTGCTTTGGGTGCTCTTTTGGGGGCTCCCTTTGTTCTGTGCTTGAAAAGGAACGTATGAACGACCTCCAGAGTCATTAGGAAAGCTCAGAGACGTTTATTTGGGCACAGTTGAAAAAATACACCAATACATTAAATGTCATGGTTTGTTCAAGCCCATTCTACATATTATATCCGGTATTACGGTGGAGGGAGACCGAAACCAAAACACATTCTACGCTTACACTGACAGTGCAAATGAATAAAGAACCGTTTGGATCAGGAGTCCACTGTGTCAGAGAGCAATTGCAAAAGGTGAAGAGATCCTGAAACAAACAGACAGGAATAAGCGCTCACTGCACTTGAAGAGCGTGCTGGGGAGAAGCAGCAGAAAGGAGGAGAGATGCTGTGGCTGAGGAAGGACTTGACGGCACAGAGGTTGGACGCAACCGAAGCCACAGTGCGCACTTGAGGATCAGACAACGCTGCGACACGAACCATCCCTCAATAATTTATGTGCAGAAACAATACGTCTTGCAACTAAGCAACACACGGATGCTCTATCGCTGACAGGCTTGCAAGCAGAAGCTCCCTGCTTTCAAAAGGTGCCTTTTCTTGGCGTTACGTTATTTGCATAGTTACTCCTTTTCCTCAAAAGGTTAAGAAAACATTCAGCAACTGAGGTCAGGGAAAAACCTGTAACCTCCCAACGATTTCTCAGCGTGGGGGAAAAAGAAATAAAAGTCACGGCGGCACAAACATGAAAAAACCACGGAAATCACAGTCAAAACTGCCACTTCCTGAACAGGGAAGGTAAGAACCGTAAGCGCATTTCGGATTGAAAGCCGAAGTGTCTCAAATGGCATCTCTGCCGTCCTTAGTTTTGTCTGCCAGAACAAAAGCTTTTTACACCCTTTTGACAGAAAGAGATCTGCTGTTTCTATGTCAGCAGCTCTAGGGTGGTGTGGGGTTGTTTTTCGGTTTTGCTTTTCCCCTCACTCGGGGGCAGGCTGCTTCTTTGAGGGTTTTTCTTTATCCCCAGCCTTTGCCCTCGCTTGTTTGGATGCTAGAGGAGATCTCGTTTGCCTCCGAAGGAGAGAGATGCGAGGACACGCAGCTGCACTGAAACTTCCATAAAAAGAGGCCTATTCAGTAAGATATCCCTGCCCAGCTCTGGATAAGCTCTTAACCTCAGAGAGAAGGAATCCGGATAAAAAGGTCTGCGCTCTCCATATGGGTATGGCATCAGCTCGTGACACTTACGTCCCCGTTTTTTGAAGAGAACTGACTGTTCCAGTTCCCGACCGTTATGTTCACGGCAGCGGCTGATGATAAAAAGCTTCAAAGTAATTTATTTTAGGAGCACAGACCCGTAACCGAGCTCCAGCTAAACTAAGACGGGCAATAGCAACACAGGTAGGTGGGAACGCACAGGCTGCTTAGAGAGAATTTCACATATGGTGACAGCGACGCTTCCACCAATTTAGCAACCCCGAGTCTTCCAGTCATTTCCCTGTCACCCACTCTCACGCCCGTACCGTTGTGCCCACCGTGCCAATCCCAACGTTCACATGGCGACAGTCAGCCGTGCCAGGAACCAACTTGATGCAAGGTAGCCTAGCCTAACCAAGGAAGGTTTTACAGCTGCTTCACTTTCCAGAGCGGCTACTCGTCTGACATCAGATGGGCAAAAGCGGGCCTCTGAGGTGCTATTTAGGCTGGTGCTTTCAGCAAGGATTCCGCCCTAAGGTGCTGGCCTGCACAAGTCAGGCACCTTAAGGAAAGGCTTGAGAAAAGAAACCGCTTATTGCATCCATGGAAATTCACCTGACCTCTCAAGTTCATCTTGACGCTCACTGGCACGTCTCACAGGTGCAAAGATCCCCTGCAGGAATTTTGGTTTCTTTTCACCTGCTGTGTACAAGGAAGATACTAGAGACTGTCTTTGCGGGACAGGCGTAGCGGCCTACCGACTGCAAAGCCAGAGCGAACGGTTCTTCGCCCAAGGACTGAGCTGAAGCTAGCTGAGAAGCTGCCGAAGCGCACGAACCCGTTGGGATCCGACCCCTACCAGCCAGTCGTCAAAAGCACTAACAGCATTTGAACGGTGGGCCTGTAATTAGAGTTAAAAACCAGGGTCAGCTACTTCAGAAGCGGAAGGGGACGTTTCAGGAGGTGTTTTTGCGTTCGTTTCTTTTTTAATAGCACAATTTAAGTACTGTTACATTGTCCTAGAACATTAAAGCAGTGGCACTTAGTGTTTGCTGTTACAAACGGGCCCTTCAAACAACCCCGCATCCTTGGCTTCCCCCAGTTCCACTCTGGGGCCACAGAACGTATCGCGACACAGGAAGAACTTGCCGAAACTGAAAGCGTACCAAAGAAAGGCGGATACTGTCAAGGTTAAACGCGGCCTCTGTGGGAGACAAAGGAAACCACAGAGCTGGAATAGTGCATTTCGAGATGACGAAAGCAGTTCACAGAACTGGATGCGGCCCTGCCCTCAGCATCTTTACCCGAGCTCATCTCCCCGGTCGCTTTTGGCACAAACTCTTTTGACGCAGTAATTTGGCTCCCATTTCGGTCAGCCGCTCGCTGCCTGGCACTTCAGTGGATTCAGAAAAAGTTTCTTCAACGCTGCGTCCAGTGACAGAGTCCTCGGGCGGGAGCGAAGGCTAAACGTTGCTGACCCTGGTTTCGGAAGATGAGATCATAGCAGCGGATGCAGATGTCACTAGTGACCGTTCTCGTCTGACGTATCGCGGCTTCCGAACTGAAACGGTGGGCACAGAAACATCATCATTAGCACCTGCTGCAGAAGCGTGCCTCTGTCATTCATTCATAGCGACACGCGCCCCCCAGCGACCCCCGGGCTGCCAAACTCATTCTGCCCTTTAAATAAGCCAGAAAACCCCGCGCCCCTGCGCGGAGCTGAGGAAAAAAAGGCCCCAAATACGGTACGCGTGTCCTACTGCCCTATTTAATACGTTTGGTGAAAGTCATGTTTAGACACTTCAAGCTTTATTAGGTTCTCGTTGGCTCGCTGATCCCATAAGAACAGCATGTACCATTTCCCACAAGTAGCACAAATCTGGATGTCCACCAAAAAGCAAGTTTGGATTCCAAAGATTTGGTCTAAACCGGTGCATTACAGCGCGAATCTCAAACAGCGATGCTTATAGGCTGAAACGTGGAAGAACGGTGGAGAAAACTGAGATGAGAACCGTATTTCTGATCGATTTTCACGCCAATTACAATCCCACCTTGTCAAAACAGCCAACGTACAAACAACCCGCTCGCCACACGCACGCCAAACGCTACATCCCAAACAGTCCGTGTCACTTGTTTCAAGAAACTGATGCGCTTCAGATCAGCGAGCCTGAAAAGCAGCCAGCCTGCCACTGGAAAGAAGATCCCAGTCCTGAAACTGGGCTCCAGACTGCACTGTTCTTCAAAACCCATTTCTTCCACCTCCTTTCCTCTCAATTAGAATACAAATAGATCTTTGATTTCTCTACAGCACAGTGCTGCATCGATACTGCGTGGCGGCGTTAATTAAAGCAATAAATCCCACTCAAAAGGGCTTCTGGACATCAGATTTCTGTGCTCTTGACAGATTCCACAGTTCCGCACTAGGCCTAAAAGTAATTGTTTTCACTTGTTAGCGTAACTGCTTTGAGACATTGCTTTCCAGCAATGAAACGTGCAAGAGGGAGGCTAACGGGCAACATTTTGTTTGTAGCAGCGTGCCCCACAGAACAGTCTCTCACCTGAAGTAGCTGGGGGAGGTATCATGGATGCCTGTGTAACAGGAGAAGAACAATTGTGTCAAAGAAAGCACCTTGTTGCTTCGGTCTTATCAAAACAAACGCAGGAACCTTGCGGGGTTCCAATGCTGTTTACTGCGAGCGCCGTCTCAGAGAAAGCAACTCATAATCCACACGGCCAGTATTCAGCTGTCACATTTTTTCTAGCTCAAAGAACCCAAACCGTTTCGTTTTGTCTTGTTTCTCGTAACAGATCAAGCAGCTCGCAAGTGACTTGTTACTGTTTACTTGATGTTTTAGGCATGCTTACTCTCAGTGGAAAAACAAATCTTACTTACTGTTTCACTAGGCTGGAGAACAGACGCTGAAAGAGAGAGAAACCATCATTAGTCTAGACCTGCTAGTGGTTTTATGTTAAATACATGTGTGCAACAGAATAGTTCCACTGATAAAAATTCCTGGGGTCACAAAGACCCCCAGAACAGACCAGAACATCAGCAGACCACCCACGAGGAGGACGTGCTGCAGTACTCTTTTCGAGGTTAAAGGGTTGCAAAGGTTTCCAAGAACGGCTCATTGTCCTCTCTAAGAAGGCAGCCCCGGCCGCATCTCTTTATGCTACAGAAGCTCCGACAGCAGAACAGCACCTTCAGCCAGCTACCAGAAGAGCCTGGCACAGCGACACGCCGTTAACTCGCCACGGCTACGCGTGACATTCTTAGCCAAATAACTGAACCCGTTGCTCCAGTCGCCCCTCTCTTTTTTCCTCCTTTGAAAAATAAGAGGAAGCCTACTTGCTCAGTTGACCTAAACCAGAAACCGGCTTTCTGTTCAACAGAAGGAGCTCTAACATAGCAAATGCAGAGCTGGGGTTTGTCGTGAGGAAGATTCAAAGGGGTTGTGCCAAACAGGCAAGACGGAGGCGGCCCTCGTGAGTCCCAGCAGATCCTGCAGTCAGAGGGCAAACAGGTGACTGAGAAGCACCGTAACAAGAAACGTCTCACACTGTTCCCTTTCTCCTGCTGCTGACACATCCTCGGTAAACAGGATACCTCCAGCGCTACAGCTCAAGAACAAACAACTGCTTTTTGCACGGCTTGAAGCACCTGACACTGTGCATACTGAAATACACAGGCTGTGCTAAAATGCTCTGTGTGCAAAAAGTCCCCACTGGACGCCTAACATCCAGTGACAGCTAACGCCTAGAACAACACTGAGTCTGTGCACGCTACAGAAAGCAACAGCTAGGTTAGTGAGACACTGTGTAATGTGCACCTAAGCACGCTCAGACTGAAGAGCTGTGAGCACACACCCTCTGCTCTGCAGTAAAAAACACGAGGCTGTAAGCACATAGCGGGGAAAAGTTGTTATTCTGCATTGTCTCGGAGGAGCAAACCTTTTGAGATGTTTCTCGAGACAATTACTTAGAAGCATTTTTTACCTTTGTTCCTTCTGTAGAACACATTAGGAAGTTTATTGGCACGCTTGAGGTAGAAGAAAGAAGCGACAGACAGAATCAGGAATAAGCTGATGAAAAACGTCCCTAAGATGAGAGAAGCTGCCACTTCCGGACCCCCTGCAAAACACAAAGACAACACCAAAACAACTGCTCAGAGGAAAGCCCGATATCCACTACAAATCTCTTCTAGCAGAAGCGTTAAACGAAGATAGGGCAAGACGAAAGAAGCATTCCGTGAGATACAGTTACCTCAAAATTCAGCTCTGAGGCTTACAAAAGATTCCCGATGAAAGCTAGGCAGAACAAGGAAAAGGAGCTGCCACCTTTGGAATTCAATCTGTCTTCCAGGGGGAAAAAAAAGTACAGCTGGCTCCAAATGCCACGTTTTGAAGGGCTTCGTATACAGCAAGGAGTTGTGAGGCCTACATCCCATCGTTATTCTCAACTACTCACCTATGTTCTGTACGAAAGGAGTTACAGTGCTTATATTCATCTGGAAATTCATCCCTCTGATACCAGCTGTAATTAAAAAAAAAAAAGCTGTTCAAACGAAATCTGACGATGCATTCGTTGAAAAACTTTGGGAGAACGTATTTATCGGCACTTATGTGAAATTATACAAGAATCCCAGTTTCCCCAATAAGTAAATCAGTTTTAAAAGCATTCTTACCACCACCTTGAGGAACTCCCAGGAAGGAAGCAAAAACCATTCGCCAGCGCATTTCTCATACCTTAGATCAAGTTTCTTATCTCCTTCACTACAATATTTGCGAGGGATCGGATGAATCTCACCTCTCAAAAGCCACAGGCACAAAACGAATCTGTCCTTGGCAGTACAGATTTTCAGGAGCTCGAGCAGTGCCTGAGCTCTTTTGTCCCCTGGAAAAGCCCCCAGCGAGTGTCTTTTTTGACAGGAGAGATTAAAGCAAGCACAAAACTCAGTATCAAACAAGCATAGTCGATACAGGTCCTAGCCTGTAGGATTAATCATTTTCATGTTTCAAACTTAGTTTTAAGATCTTACATCGGGCCAAATTATCTTTTTTCTTCCTCTAAGCGTTGCGCTTTGTTTGACAAATTGGGTATTCCAATACAACACATTGCATTCTTTTCCCTTCTAGGTTCTGGAACGGTTCCACAGCACTGCATAGTTTCTGTCAACTCAATTCCAAAGCTTCTGCAGCTTTTACTGCATGTTCGAAACCCCCGAGGTTCGTTAGGGCTTCGGAAAAGGATGACGTTTTACAAATGGTGCAAGAGACTTGGCAACACCTGACGTCTTCTTGAACGGTCTTCGTCGGACCGCATAAGCAAGGAGAAATCTTGTTAGCTAGAATAGCAGTATGACAAATGACTCACTGTTTCTGCAATCAGTCAGATTGTAAACAGTAGCAACAGGAAGAGTTTCATTTTTGCACTTAATGCAGCTGCTACTCCCATCCTCGTTCCACCGTCTGTAACAACCTGCAGAAGAATAAGATGTACAGCCATGTGAAAACAACACAAACAGCACCAGAGACGTTTCCTGATCTTCGGGAAGGGGCAGAGGTAACAAATCCCACACACCACCCAGGCTGCATTTCAGAGCACTTCTTCCAGACAAGACACAACCTCTTAAGGAGCAAAAAAGAGAAAGTTACGTTCCAGAAAAGCTCCAAGAAGGAAATTTTAACGTAGCTCAATTCACCGCTTCATTAGCTTGAAGATAAAAGGGATCCATCTGACAACCTGCAAGTACCTTCCACAATACCAAAAACGCAGCATCGTTCAGCCATTTCTTTTTAGAGGTCGTGCACTGCTGCAACAGAACTTAATGCCACCGTTGCATAGAGCACAGAAAACAGAGACGGGCAGGGGCAAAGATGCGAAGGACCTGGCTGTGCTTGGATGAAAGAAGATGCTGGAGTTTCCATAGTCAGTCAACTGAAGAGCGACAAGCTCAAGGGACGAGTGCTGCTGCGATCTAGCCCTTCTCCGTGCCTCGGTGATCTCAGGTACTGCACTAACTGTTTCACTTTTAGAAGAAGCCCAGCCTGTTTCAACTCTCCCGCAGCAGATGGTGAGTGTTTTATATCCGTCACCCCGCCACGCGGGCTGGAAACTGATTAAACTTTCATCTTCTAGGACTTCAGTGTTCCAGCCTCTCAATTCATGTTTAAACACACGTTTAACTATCTCTTTCAGAAGAGGAAAAAAAAATACGTAAAAAAATTTAGGGCGCATCTTCAATAACAACTTCATTTCATAAAATAAAGCTGCGGCGGTTTCACTTGAGGCTTAGACTCAAGACAGGAAGATCAGAAAAATATTCCTCCTAGATCATATTACAGGCTACATTTTAAAGCAAAAAACTTACTAGGCTGGCTAAAATCCAGCTCTCCAGAGCCTTGAGCCAAACTGGTATCAATTATCCCATAAAGCAAACCATTAGTACGGTGCTGATTTGAAAACAGCTTTGCTACTACGGTTTCCTTAGAGGGAGACAGCACATTTGATGCCCACAGCAATAAATTACATCTGACGTTTAATCTAAATACAAACGGACCCAACGTAAGGGCAAAGCCTTTCCGCAGTAATAGGAAGGAAACATCAAAGTCTTCATCTGACACCAAAGATTTTGGTAGGTTATCAGTTTACAGGAAGACTTCAGAGATTGCAATCCCATAGCTTGGAGACTACGCTCATACCACGTCTAAAATCATTTAGGAGCAGAAATGAAGGTAGCAGTGAAGCAACGGTTTAAGAACCTAACGAGGCAGTGAAATTGGATGGGCTTATAGAGCTTTAACAACCATCTCAACAGCCCAGAAAGGCACCCCAATTTTTAAATCACCAATTCTCTCGTTGCTGTGGGCTCCCAAGCCATTTTCTGTCTTTTACTCTGATTTTAAACACAGAGTACGCAGTATTAATAAAAAAAACAATACTCAATTTAGGGAAAAACATCAACTTAAATGGGACGAGAAGAACGAGGCATTCTGTGCTAACAAGGCAACACCAAAACTGTTCTTAAACGTCACAACACACCGCAGCATTTTTGCTTTTTATGCCCCTTTTATGGACCTCTAAGTATCCAAAATAGCTCTGGCATAATCCAATTGCATGCTAAATAAAAAAGAAAGCATAAAACCTTATAGTCGTCTACTCTACTTACCGTGCAAGGACATTTCGTGCTTCTTATGACTCATATCCTGTACACATAAGGAGAAAGTTCACCTCGTTGTTTATTCTCTTTCCATGCCCCCCTAAATCGGACGCTGTACGTTCACCGTCAAAAATAATCTGGGATTTAATTAAGGAAAACCACACTATACCTGGGCTGCACTGGTTGGCTACTGGACAGGAACTGTTTGACTCCAACATGTCCACACAACATTCCGTTTCTGAAACCTAAGAAAAAGAAAAAGCATCGCAATGTATTTCCCCACGGTTTTCAGGTTTACACAAATACTGCAGTAAACATCCACAGAGAACACAGGGGAGCAAACTTTCGCACGAAGAAGCCATTTCGAAGCCCTTTTTCTCAGGACGTAGCGCTTGTTACACAGGTCTCAAACCAGCCGTGAGGACATCAGGGTTGGTGGGAAGCAGCAGAACAAGAGAAATATTCACAGTGACTGCTGCCATCGTAGCTGATCACACGGCACTGCTACAACTTCCGGTAACACAAGTGTTGAAGATCCACTTCTAGACAGTTCCCAGATGGCAATAACCCAAACTGAGTTGCCCCTGTGCTGAAAGCAGAGGGAACGAGGCTGCTAAAAGTTGAGACAACAGGACACATGTTGAGGGCCAGTTCTTAAGTCCCCTCGTCCCGCTTTGTTGACCAGAGACCCACACAAAGTCCGAGCAGCCGTGCTGTGCCTCCTCTCCCTCGATCTTGAAGAGTTTGATACTGAAACCCTTCACCAAAGTTCTTTAGGACGTCGCCAGCATTTATAACAACTGCAACAGACCCACGGAAGAGAAATGCACCGTGTCAGCATTAGGCTGCCACTGCTGTTAGTAAAGCGGCAAAGGCGTTCTCGCGCACATGGGAAATCCCAAAAAGAACTCAAAATAGAGGCACGCTGTTAGCAACACGGCTGGCAAAAACCAGTTTTCACTGAACGCCCATATCGCAGCTGAAGATAACATCTACATATGGCAAAGCAATCAGCAGAGATGCAAAAGCTTCTTCCTTCAACATTTAGCATAAGAGTAACTTCACATATCCCGAAGGCAAGAAGAGCTTATTTTTTTTCCCGCTGCTTTATATAAAAGCCAATTTCAAAATGATTTACAAATTACAACAAGCTGTGACATAAGCTTAGAGATAGATGGCTGTTATCAGCTCTGCAGTTCTTTTGGCAGAACGTTACTGACACTCTGCATAGGCTTGGGCACATCCACTCTCCGAGTCTGCGCAAGGAAAATAAGTCCAGTGCCTCTTCAACTTGCGTGGATACATTCCCCCTAAAGCATACAGCAAGGCCGATCGGTCTTAAGAAGAGATGAAGTTTTCTTGGTCAAAAGTAACTGGATCCGATCTGCATTCACACATACACATAACCTGGATGTACCTAACGTAGAACAGTCGGCATTATTCTGCTAATGGGCAAAAATCCATCAAATCCAGGGGTGGCGAAGATCAAAGCTGTCAGCAGAAACGTTCGGGACACGAAAGTGTAATTAGAAGGCTGACTTAAAACCGTCAGCGCATCACAAGGGAGGTGAAGAGCCAGAAAACCTACAGATAACCTCCTGGAGACCAGTTTCCTACAAGGCACTGCCGGTAAAAATTCTCCCAAAAGCAGAATTTTGTGTCTGACCTTTTTCTGTGAAACAGAACCGGCTTCACAGCTCCACAGTCACTAGAAAACTTCTTGGTACCCGTAGTTTGGAGTTTCTGCAGTGGAACCACCTACCGTGCAGCTTGAAAAGCGTTGTCTCAATCATGGAGGTGCTTTTTTCCTCCCAGTGCAAAGCTTTGCCAGTTGCATTCCTGTGAGCCTACGGGCACCCGACTAGCATGAATTTAACAGGCGCTCACAGCCAATTCAACCCACTGTCAATGCTTCAGTTAATGACCGCCAGCATCACTCATTTCTGTTTAATTACAAAGCCTTCAATAAACCACAACAGGAAGGGAAAAGACACTGTTTCTTCTCGGTTTGACAGTCCCCAGCATGACAAAAACGCAAAGTACCTACCGAACTTTCAGGAGATTTGCTGGCAACTTCTGCTACAAGTCTGGTTAAGAGAAGGATGTACGGCACCTCCATGCCCAGGAAAGACAACAGTCTAAATAAGAACAAGGAAATGGATTGTTAATGACAGAAGTTAGGCTTTCCCTTCGCCAAGGAACTTTGGCCAACACGCTCCTTTTATTCAAATACAAAGGCCTTTAAATTAAACATGCCAAGGGGAACGACTTACCTTGGTGCAAGACAGAGGGTTGAGACATTCAGAATTGTCCCTCCAGCTGCAGAAGGGCAGGCTCCTGGCTACGGCAGATCGTGGTTGCTAAGAAACAAGGAGCCTTATCAGTCTGCTCCAAACTGGGCCACGCAGAGACTGTTCCACACCCAGCATCTGAAAATCAACGTGATTGCAAGAGAACAGTTACTGCCTGGCACCACTGCTGATAAGCCTCCCCGCAGTCACAGGCTCCTCTGCCTGCAGCACTGAGCTGTGATGGATCCGTATCAGGGCAGAGAGCACACGCCACTCGAGAAGGCAACGCTGCAATTAATTTTTCCCATGACAGCGCAATCACGAAGCGTTACTGAAGTCTATCTGCTAATAAGCCTTATTTCTCAACTGCCTAAAATCAGACCTCCGTGAGCAGACTGTGCCATCGCCTATCAGCCTTCCTCCCTCCCCCCCCTCCATCCTCCTCATCCAACTCCACACAGCCTAAGCAAAGTCCACACTTCCTAGGTTGGATTGTCAGGCTGAACTGCTGCGCCCTACGTCACGCTCCATCCGCACTGCTCAGACACTTCCTCTGTGGGTGCTACAGTGTCTGCCTGGTTTTTGCTCAACAGCGTGGGAAGCCACACCTCACAGCCAGCCTACCTGCAGCCTGGTGCCTTCAGAGTCTTTCCTGTTATAAATAAAACATGGAAGCAGACGAGCTCCTCTAGCTGGAGCGTAACACGAGGAAAGAAAGCCTTTGGCTGTAGGGAAAAGCTCTCCAGTGAGTCATTTCCCCAACTATTTTTGCTAAATAAAACTCCAGTGGATGAATTTCAAATGACTCTCAAAGACATTATCACAACCCTTGGCAAGCTGCTTCTCTGAAAAACAGAATCACTGAACGGTTCCTACGATTAACTTCCACTCTGCTTCCGGAAAAAAGCGTGTGCACAGAACCTGCTGCCTCAAATTCACAGCAAAAACAGGTCAGCTTAGTGGGAAAACGTATGGCTACCCTCTGTTATCAGCTAAAAGCTCCGAGACCAAGGGCTGACAATCCCAAAAACCACACTCCAGTGTTACTGCTACAAGTCATTTGTATGGCTAATGAGGATTTGGACAGAGCAGGAAGAGCTCGCACTGCCACGGGTCCTTGTCCATTTAAGCATAACAAGGATGGAGATACGACTCCCAAACCAGTGCCCCGAAGCACAGATGTTACCTTTCTAAGCAGTTCCAGTGGTGACAAGACACCTCACACCAACACCTGCCTTAACAAAAAAGGTGAATTCACCTCAGAAGATGAAAGGAGAAGCTTTCCGCAGCGCAGCACGTAGCTCTAGAAGCCAAGAACACCTTGCTCACAGCTCTGTAGGGAACACTCTCTTCCTCAGCGCGTTTCAACTGAACAGAAGCTACCTGTGACCCAGCAGAGGTCTAACATCAAGGCAGTCTCGGGGACGTGCGTGTGGATGGACGTATTTTACACAGGCACGCTCACAAAGCTTGCCTTACTGCCTCTCTTCAAAAATCAGACGTTGCTGCTTCTCTTCTGGGGAGGATCATCACAGTCAGTAAAGACATTTGTTGACGAATTTGTCATGCCTTTGGAAACTGCACGGGTTTTTTGGTCAATACCTGATCTGTAAGCACTAGAGAAATAGAGACGAACAAGGCATTTGTTTAAACAAGGATATTCTTGTTATCTAGAAAAACACTTAACTTCAGGAACACCTCGTGCTAAACAAGAAAGCATTTGGGAAACTGGCCACTGCTGAGAGCCTGATCCTCCTCTTCGCAAAAGCTCAACACGGGCTGCATCTCCGCTCCTCCAATAAATTAAGATGATAATCAACAACACTGTTGCATTTACGGGCAGTCACTCCCAGCCACTACCGAATGTAACAAACTGGAACATATGTCCTGCAGCTGTTCCAGCAGAACTAGGTCACTGGATCTATTTGCTCTCAAATCATCAGCAACTTAATTTCTTTCATTACATTTCTGCGAGAGAGACACACGCTATTTGAACTTTACATACACACCACTGAACCAGCTTTGGAGGCGTGAAAGCAGACGAGCAAAGTGCTTTCCAACTCCCAAACGCATCAGGCTTCCATTGACTCAATTTACGTTTCGCTCCGAGTTCCAGAACCACTTGTTCACATCCTGCTGGGCTCTTTTTCTGCCAGCGAAATATTAACGAACATCTGTCTGAAGGTGGAGGGGTGGAAATCAAGCCATGAAGGCAATACTGGACATCTACTTGTAGGTTTAGGTTGGCGCCCGTCGACGGCGCTAAGCATCCTTATTCTTCACTTGTAATAACGTGAAAAAAAAGCATACAGCTTTTTCGAAGAACAAAGTAAGTGCAGTACTTCCAACCGAGACAGCGACGTTCAGCAGGGATTTGGACTGTTCACTGGTCTTCACTTGCAAAACTGCAGAACTAAGAACTCATTTTATTGCCTTCCAGCCGCCAGTCATTCAGAACCGCTCCGTTAGCGACCCGCACAGCATTTTGTGCCGCAACTTTATTCTTTTGAGAAAGGGAAAAACCCTACAGATTTTAAGACTTCCAGCACACGCTATGACTAACCGTGTCTCAGGATGAGGTAGCTGTGTATTTAAATTAAATGAGAGCTTGATCAGGATGTGACACCCACAGCAAAACAATTCACAAGCTCAAGGAATACGTTTTACGTTTGGCAGCGTTTTCTCTTTGGAGTAAGGAGAAAAAAAAAAGATAATGTCACGCACAAGCTGGAGCCCAAATTAGAATGTATTTATGCTTGAGACGCCAACACAGTTAGGAGAATACAGACATTTTAATTAAAACTAGTATTTCACACCAGAACTCCACGTTCGAAAGAAATCTCAAGTTGCTGTCAGCTCAGATCTCAAGTGACACAACACGCATAAGCAGAACGCGTCAACATTCACTGAGTAAATTCTTCCTCTCGCTGCCTTTATAAAAAAAAAGGCAAGCAACTCACGATAAATACTACGCACTTGAATGCTTTCCTCCCACTCCTGGAATCGAGCGCCCTTTAATTGAACTTTAAGTCTACATTCTGCATGCACACAGCTTTGCATCTCTCACCTCTGTTGCCCCGCCTGCTGCTGGAGCACTGCGTCAGGGTATTCCTTCAGCTACGTGGAAAAAACCTGCAGCAACACATTGCTAAATTTCAGGTGGTTTTACAACTAGATCAACAGACGGGAGCGGAAAACAACACCACCCCCATTCCACCGCTTGTTACGCTCTGCCAGGACCTCGATTTGGCCGCAATCAAAGTGGTATCAGAGAGAAATTAAAAGGCAGACTCACGGAGCACAGCCTGCAGACTCCTGGGCTCCTCTCAGCAGCACTGCAGCTCCCCAGGGCCACGCTGGAGGCGGACGGTGTGCAGCTGACTGCTAATTTCCCATTGACACCGTCTCACAATGGATCTGAGCAGTAGAACAGCTGCCAGTTAGGGTTAGAAAATACCTCGTGGAAACGAGAGCTGAAGTGGGACTTGTTTTTCCAGCTCTCTTAGCATACACCTGCAAAGAGACCCACCACCCCTGCCCTCGTAAATGACTTCACAGCAATTAACGCCACACGCTGCACGAGGCAGCGAGGCTCTCCGCTCCAGCCTCGGCTCCCTTACACCTCTACGAGCACCCGGAGCACGCCGACACCGTTGTTTACGGCCGTTCGGCCAGCAGACAGGATCGCAGCCTGTTATTACAGCGGGCTTTACGGTCTCACCGCGTGAAGAAACGACGACCGGAGCAATTCGGCCCCGCGGCCCGCAGCACGCAGCGCACACAGGCAGGGCCGGGCCTGGGCCGCGCCCCGGGGCCTCTCCCCCCACACCTGCCCGAACAACGCGGCTCCTCCCGCGGGCTCCCCTCGCCCTCAGCCGCCGATCCCGCGCCCTCCCGCCCCAGAGGAACCCCGTCACCCCCTGCAGATCGCTCCCCACCTGAGGAAGCGTCCTCCGGCAGCACCGCCGGCAGGTTCCCGTTCGTACCCCCCGCCCTCAGGCGGCGCCCTGCCCGCTCCTTCCCGCGGCGCCCTGGGACTTGTAGTTCTCCCGTCTCTCGCCGGCCCTAGGGGTGCGGCGAACGCTCCGCCGCTCCGAACTACAGGTCCCAGCATGCACCGCGCCGCGCCCTACCTGAGCCCTCCTCCCCTCAGGTAAATCCCCTCCCTCAGCCCGCTCCCGCGGCGCCTTCGCCGGCGCCGCTCTGCTGCGCGCGGTGCCTCATGGGAAAGGGAGTCCCGCGCCGCCCGTCTCGCCGAGGAAAGGGCGGGTTCCGGCACTACAACTCCCAGTGTGCACCGCGCGGGCGCCGCCATTTTGGGCGTTGCTGGGCGACGCGGACGCCCCAGGAGGAATGGCGGGGGGAGGGGACTGAGGCGCTGAGAGGGGAGTTGGTCACCGAGGGAGAAGTGCTGAAGGGCAGCGGCACGTCCACCTGAGCCTTCTGCTCTACGGGAGTTACTGTGACAAAACGACTGAATGAAGTATATCTAGTCCCTGCTTGTTGCCATTGCAGTCCTCCCAAATGACGTTTCTGCTCACGAGCACGTATTTCTCCGGCACGAATGAGGACGTAAATGTGGCTCAGGCAGATTTCTGTACTGACTCTTCCAATCTGACAGCAGGGAAAAAGTGGGAGATTGTGGAAACTTTCATCGTTTGCGTGAGAAAATGTGAGCTACCGTGACAATTGACGACATCCAGACACACGATTCATAAATTCTTCTCAGATGCTGTCTCCTGTACCTCAATACCGCTTTTAATTCAACACAGTAGGAATTCATTCAGTGCAGCAAGAATTATTTTAATCCAACGTCGCTAGTGATTGCCTGGCTTTCAGCTGTCGGTTGAGGCAGCCACCAAGATTTCCCCTATTGGGCGGAGAAGCGAGCTGGCCCAGCTGCTTGAGGAAGGATGCTTTGGTAGCTTTGGTGATGGGGACGAGGCCAAAGGTTACTGTAGAAAACTGCAGTGCTTGGAGCACAGTCTATTTCTCACTGACCAGCGACATTCCTCAGTGAATACCCTATCCTTAAGGAGGAGCTTGAAAAATGGAATCGTATGGAGCAAACACAGTCTGTGCCCATACTGACAAGTTTCCCCAGGTCTGCACCATTCTACCTCTAGTAAATTAAAGCATTGCTTCTTATGTGTACTCGATTCTATTCAGACTTCCCCAAATTAGTTGTAATCTTTAATCTCCTTCTCTGGAATGGCACTTTTCATCTGCTTGCCTCTGTCTCACATATCAGGGTTTCTCTTTACTAAGCAAGAAGCGCTCATTTCACAGCGATGGTTTTGAAGGTCTGGTTCTGATCAAAGCAGTAACAGGATGGCTTAAGCATTTTTTCTTTCACGTCAGCTTTAAAGCGTAGAAGTCGACTGCTAGATTTGCATTAATATTAAGGACAAGCCTAAAAGCTTTCTGCCTTTAAGAAGAATATACGTGTTCTTTGTAAAAAATGTAACAGGACTCAAACAATTCGTACCAGATGGTAAACAATACTCCATTCCACAAGTACATTTGCTCATCTGTACTTTTCCTGGAAGATTACCTGGGTGAGACACAGCAAGGCACTCAAGCAGAAGCTTATAGCTGCAGAGCGGATCTGACCTACATAACAGAAGTAGAAACATCTAGTTGGCTTGTCGGGAGAATCACAGCCAGCAATTGACACGATTTCACGGTCTGCTAATCCAGTGGCAATCAGTACAAGAAAGACATTGAGATTTTGGAAAGGGTCCAGAGGAGGGCAACTAAGATGATCAGGGGGCTGGAGCACCTCCCCTATGAGGACAGGCTGAGGGAGTTGGGCTTGTTCAGCCTGGAGAAGAGAAGGCTGCGGGGTGACCTCATTGCAGCCTATCAATACCTGAAGGGAACCTACACCCACGAGGGGAGTAAACTCTTCAAAAGGGCTGACAACAGCAGGACTAGGGGAAATGGATCCAAGTTGAAGGAGGGAAGATTTAGGTTGGATGTTAGGGGGAAGTTCTATACAAGGAGAGTGGTTAGGCCCTGGAACGGGCTGCCCAGGGAGGTTGTGGATGCCCCGTCCTTGGATGTGTTTAAGGCCAGGTTGGATGGGGTCCTGGGCAACCTGATCTGAATGTGTGTGTTTGGTGGCCCTGCTAGGCAGGGGGGTTGGAACTACATGATCCTTGAGGTCCCTTCCAACCCGGGTGATTCTGTGATTCTGTGATTCTGTGATTCTGTGATTCTGTGATTTCTGTTAAGTGGGAAAACAGCTTGATGTATCACCGATATATATGGCAGCCCTTTGGGAGAGCTGTGTTACCAATGGTATCGGGTGGATCGGGCAGGTTTTACAGTTAGCACCCTGGGCATACCCAGCCGTTCTTTAAGCAAGAAATACAGAAAGGACTCCCTTCGCATTGTCTGGGTCGTGGGAGGAAAGACCTTTTGAGAAACACCTCTCAGCCAACCCAAGAGATATCTCCAGTGTTGGCCGTTTGAACTAAAATACATGGGGGTATCTGCTGCCATGCGTGGTGCTCCTATCCAGCAAAAGACTTCGAGTGGGTAAATTGAAAGGGGGTTATTCCAGGGCAGTTTTCATGGGTAGCTTGAATTGAATGCACTACCACCAAAACAACGTGTTCTACTATTTCTTTTAAGGAGGGATTTCAATACCACCGGAACAAACACGTGCATCGCTTCCCTTACCAGCTTTGTTTTAATTGTAAGTTCCCTTTCCACGTTTTTTCCCCTCGAGGTTGTGCTCTGGGATGGAAACTGAAATTGCTTTTCATGAAAAACCCTGAAAGTCCATGCAGGAGATGGTGGGAATACAAGAAAAACCGTTCAGAGCAGAAGCTGTGGAGCAAGATAAACAGCAGGAGATGTTCCAGACTTCAGAACAGCAGAACAGATGGGCACGATGGCTCTTTGGTTTAGAGCAGGGGATAAGAGAAATGCTCCGCACGCAGCCTGATGATGAACAAAAGACATTACAGATGCTGGGATGGTTCTTCTGGCCAAGCTTGCTACCGATTCTGATAGAAGAACTCACATCCAAATTCACCCCATATTATTTTCCTGCCTACGCTGTCTTAAAAGTACCTTAGATGTGCAATTGAAAAGAGAATTGGGATGATTTCTGACGTTTCTATTAGCTAAACCTTTCAATGCTCTGCAAATTGCATTTGTGCGATTGTAGATGTGGTTCTTCTCTCCCTAGGTGTTCGTCCTTTGTAATGTAACAAAGCCTTCCTATGCAAGAAGTGGGAAGTGGAAAAACGTAAATATTCATCATTCTTAATGAACCATTTATTTCCGCACGCTTAGTGGAAGGTAAATTTACCAAATATGCATAGCTAAATGAATTAGTCCTAATAAGGTTTAAATCTTGTTCAATTTCTGAGGCTTAGTCAACATTTTCCATACATTTCTCAGCCGAGAGCAAGGGAGGGAGGGCAAAGAGGTGAGGAGGGAGAAACCAAAATGACTCCCGAGGCTGTTGGTGCGAGAACAAAGATCCAGCATCGACTGTATAAATAAACATGAGAGCGTAGGAAAGTGGTAATGATTCTGGTAATATACAGCTTTAATTACTACCACATTGAGAAGAAATCCTCAGCAATGGATTGACTTCTTCTCGGGCTTTATTAAAAAGTGAATTGCATTCCGCAGTGCAGAGCTCGGATTCCTGAGCCGTCCTCCCTTTTTGAACACACAGCGTCGTAAAAACACATCTACAAAAAGCAGAAAAAATCGGTCCTTCCAGTCGGTGAAGTGTGTGGTCACACACACGTGGAAACTCATCTTTCCTTTTGCACCGCGGAATGAGATGCTGGGCAGCCCAGGCGCATCTGAGCCCTTATCACAGCAGCACAACCTAAGAAGTGCTGGGGGAAATCCGCTCTCCTCACCTGGAGAGCTTCATTATCTGGGAGATGCGAGCGGCTGCGTTTCCTCGCTGCCGTGTGCGTGGGCACAGCTCAGTGCAATCCTCCTTTATCGGGGCCTTTTTCAGGTTTTCCGTTCACAGGAGGATTGCTGAGCCACGGAATTATCAGCTCCCAGCTCAGTACTTACAGAGCGTGCAAGGAGAGCACCGAGTAAGCATGGCTGCGGCGTTCATCGCCAGCGCCCGAGAGCAAAGCCAAGCAAAGAATAAACCAAGAAACAACAAAACCCCCGCTTCCTCAGCGTTCAAGAGATGGATTGTTTCTGAGAGAAGGAAAAAAAAATAAGTTACAGCAAAGGAAGCAACAAGGAAACAGCTTTGCGCAACAGGATTTCCTGCCAGGACCTTTGGGTCACAGCCACTGGATGGGGTGGTCCTGGGGCTCCCTGCTCGCTGACTGTGGGGTTTCTTGCCATTTATGGGGCTGTCCCTGGGGGCTCAGGTTGGCAATTTTGTAAATATCTTTCTCATACTCAGGAAATTCACGGCATACTTCAAAAGGCACGCACGGATCTGCAGGAGGAGGAAGGAGCCTGGTGTGGTTTTTTATTGCTTTTATGAAAGTAAATAGCTGCCATAGTTTGGGGGACTGGCAGCGCATGACCCACAGCCTCACGTCTCTATCTCTGGATCTCTCCATGAACGCCGAGGGCAATTTTCTCTTGGCTGTTCTCACAGCTGAAAGCTTAGCAGAACTCGCCTAGTAAAAGCTATTACCGCTTTGTACAAAGCCTTGCTTTTGTGTTCCCTACAAATTCAACTTCAAGCTGTCATCTCGAATAACAGGGGAAATCCATTGGCTACTTTAAAACTTATATTTTGATTTTAAACGAGTCCAGCTTGTGGCAAGAAAGGCTCACAGAGAACGACCGGCTCGCCAGGTCCAGCCGCACCACACACGTGCCAGTCTGTCAGGTAACACGTCCACGGGCACCTAAATTGTAATTCCAACTGTCCTTCTCCCAGCTTCCACAATATCAATGGCATATGTCCATCTCACCAAGGAAAAAGCATGAAGAAAGAAGAAAAAGAAACCCTTGCTAGCATTGGGCTTGCCTATTTATACTGCAGTCCTCC